AAAAATAGATATATATATATGTATATAGAGTCCACGTTGCGTCTCTTCTCCGTTCGCTGCCTTGCTGCAGTTATTGGTAATTCGGAGCTTCAGGTAGCTCGTCGTCTTCGCTCGGCAGGTCCAGGGGCACATCCTCCGAGTCGCTGGAGTGCGAGCGGGGGGAGAACTCCCCGTCACTCCGCTGGGAGTGGGGGGAGGTCTTGCTGGCGTCGGGGGAAGCGGACGGCCCGTCCTGGAAGGCGAACGGCGGGGCCCTGGGGCCGGCTTGCAACAGTGGGGGAGGGGGTGGAGGAGGGTGTCCCTGGCCGGGGGGATAGCGCCTGCAACCCGGGGGAGAGGAGTTCCCCGGAGCCCGGGGGTTAGCTTCGGCTTCTCCCCCCTGCAGCAGCTCGGCCAGGGCGCTGATGTAGATCTGCGCCATCTGCAACGTCTCGTACTTTGACAGCTTCTTGTCGTTGTTGAAGGAGGGGATGACCCCGCGGAGCTGGTCGAAGGCGTGGTTCAGGCCGTGCATCCTCCTCCTCTCCCGGGCGTTCGCCGCCAGCCTCCTCTGTCTCTGCACCCCGCTGGCCGGAGCCCGCTGCCGGCATCCCAGCTCCCCCGCTTTCAGTTTGCAAAGCTCCCGCACCCTCACTGGGCTCTTACCCCGTCCGCTGCATCGGCCGGGCTCCGCTCCCGCCCCGGCCCCCAGCAGCAACAGCTCCTCCTCCGAGGAGGAGCCACCGGGAGACAGGTAGGAGTCGCCGTGAGCCGGGCAGGTGCCTCCGCTTTGCAGATCGGGTGCCAGCCATCCCCTGGGGTCGGTGTCCAGCAGCGACAGTGCAGCGGGCTGCGGGTAACCCTGACCTGCCTGAGGCTGCTGCAAACACCTCTCAGCCGCCAGCTCTTTCAGATCCGTCCACTCTTCCGAATGCATCTGGCTCATGGCAACTCGATGATTGCAAACAGGCGAGAAAACCAGGCAGGGTTGGGAAGATGCAAAAAAAAGAGAAAACAACTGGTGTTTTCTTTTTGCAAATAAAAAGAACCTAAAATAATAAGGAGTGTGGGGGAAAGAAAGCTCTGGAGGATAACTTTATGGCTGCTCCAGACCCTTTGTCGTCTTGCAAACGGTTGCTGCAAATTTTCTTGCAAAAGTTTGCGTGTGTGTTTGTAAATAGCGCTGCACATGCAACACACAAACACAAGGGATAGGAGGCAAACAAGGCGATGCAACCTCACCAGGCGTGTGCAGGTTATAGAGATATAATATAGAAAAAGAAAGCAGACACACAAATCTGCTCCTCTTGCTGCGAGACGGGGCTGCGGCTGCCTTTAAATGCGGCACGCGCCGCCCGGGGATCAAAGGCGCCGCCGCCGCCGCGCCCCCCCTCCCTCCCCCGGGTTATTCCGAATGGGGGAGGGGGCGGGGAAACGGCATGAATGGGGGGCTCGCGCCGGTCGCGTGTCGGCAGCCAATCGCGGCGCGAGCCCGGCGCGTGCGGCAGGGCCAATGGGCGAGAGCTCCTTCCTTCGCCCTCCACCTACCAGAGGCTGCGATGCAAATCGCGGGGCGGGTGGCCGTCAAATCAGAGGCCGAGAAGGGGAGCGGGGCGGTGCCAGGCCCGGGCCCGGCGCGTGGGTGGAATGTTGCCACTCGCTGCCCGTTTTGCAACAGCGCGGCACGTGGCCGCCCCGCCCACACCCCTTAGTCCCCGATTCCTCTCTCTCCTCTCCTCCACTCCCCTCTCTCCTATCCTTCTCCCTCTCTCCTCACACTTCTCTCCCTTCTTCCCCTCCCTATCCCCTCTCTCCTCACACTTCTCTCCGTTTTCCCCTCCCTATCCCCTCTATCTTCACACTTCTCTCCCTTTCCCCCTCCCTATCCCCTCTTTCCTCACACTTCTCTCCCTTTTCCCCTCCCTATCCCCTCTATCCTCACACTTCTCTCCCTATCCCCTCTATCCTCACACTTCTCTCCCTTTTCCCCTCCCTATCCCCTCTATCCTTGCACTTCTCTCCCTTCTCCACTCCCTATCCCTTCTCTCCCTTTACCCCTCCCTATCCCATCTCTCCTCACACGTCTCTCCCTTCTCCCCTCCCTATCCCCTCTATCCTCACACTTCTCTCCCTTCTCCCCCTCCCTATCCCCCTCCCCTCACCCTTCTCACACTTCCTCCTCACCCTTCTACCCCCAGCCCCCCTTTGCCCTACTCTCCTCACCCCTCGACATCCTACCCACTCTTCCCCCCTTCCTCTCCAACTCCCTCCGTCCCCTCCAGCCCCGATAGAACCACATGATGGATCACGGAGTAGGCTATATCTGAGACCCTCACACACTCACTCACATTCAGTAAGGTTTTGGTGGGGGTAGGGGGGGGTCGCAACAGGCAGCTTCCGCGTTGCACGAAAGGCACCAGCCATCGCCTTGACACGCAGTGTGGGCTAAATGAAGACAAGGGAGAAAAAGTGTAGGAAAATGGCTACAGAGAGAAATGATGAATTAAAAAGTTTCACTGTACTGGGAGAATAAACGAGGAGGACGGGGATAAAATGTAGGACATTGGCTACAAAGCGAAATGAAGAAGTTAAAAGTTTCACTAAGCCGGGAGAATAAATCATATTTTAGGGCTGTTTCATTTAGATAAGAGGTCGGACTCTGAATTAGGCTAACATTCCCATCAACGACAGTGCTGACTCGCTAACCAGAGGATCTTTCCGAAGGACTGTATGGTTAAAAGGGACAGGGACCAGCTCCTCTTCCGAGCCCAGGGCTTCACGTTGGTCACACGCTTCGTCCGCAGCACCACGCGTCCGCATTCCCTGCTTCACTGCGCAGGCCGAGCTGGGGCAGGGGAGGAGCTGGGACAACAGCACTGCACAGATCTGCATCGCCAAATCAGTTTCCCAAATCACTCAACTGGCGAATTAACCCTTCCAAACAACACCAGGCCTTCCCTCCCGTTCTCACACACTCGGTCAATCTTTTTCCACTAGAAACGATGCAGAAGACACTCAGAAAGCTGCAAAAGAAACACGCACGTAGTGCTAGAGAAACTCAATATTTGGAGAGAGAAACAGAGTTAACTCTTCTGTTTTATGACCCTCCTGACAGAGGGGAAAACACAGTTTATGTTTCGGGTCCAGTGAGGGAGCTCTGATAATGGATTTCTCTCTCCCTCTCGCTGTCAGATTTGCTCAGTTTCTCCAGCATTCTCTGTGTGTTTGTGTCAGATCTCCAGTATCCTGCACTATCTTGCTTCTGCTCACCAGCATGTCACCTGGGTTGGAACCATTCAACAATGAGAGAGGCCAGGCAGGCTCCACTTATTAGAGCAGATAAAGCTGAAGGGGCCGGGGTTGGAGAGTGGGGTCGATCTGACTGAGGTGTACAAAGCTCAAACGGCCATAGGCTTACGCAGGGAGAAACCTAATTCCTTAGCCGGAATCTATAGTCTACAATCGGGGGGCACAGTTTTAAACTCAGGACCAGAAGGTTATTTTTAGGGGGTTTGAGTGGGGGATTGGGGGGATTCTTTCCCACAGAGAGATATGGGTATCTAAAACCCATTGCCTGTAAGGGTGATGGAGTAAGATCACTCAACACATTTAAGAGCTATTGGGACGAACGCTTGAAACGCGGTAGCACACTGATGAGGGACTGGAGAATGGGATTAGATGGTCTTGGCAGGATGGGCCGAAGAGCCTCTTCCCCTGTTGTTAAAACTCTAAGACCCTATAACACTCCTCATCTCATAGTGGAAGGCAGCTTTGGCTTGACCGCTGCCATTGGGAATGGGGGGTTGGTGGGGAGATGCGCTGGGGAAGGCAAGGTTACACGGGGTCAGGCCGCTGGAAACATTCGCCTGTTGCAACAGCGTGTGGCCATTTTACAAAAAAACAGGAGTTAAGGTACAGAGACCTCACCCTCTGAGAGGGGGAGGGGAGGGCAGCACTCTCTTTATCTGTGAGCCCCCTGCCCCCCTACTCAGCAGAGAGCTCCATTTCCGAACGAGTCAAATCGGTCTCGAACCGTCAACTCCGTTTTCTCTCTCCACAGACGCTGCCAGTCCGGCTGAGTTTTTTTTTTCCCAGGACTTTCTGCTTTTATGACACTCGATAGCCAGGAGCCTTCACCCTGCAGTCTCATTGGGGCTTTGACAAAATGCCCCACACACCGAACGTTACAATGGGGTAGGAATATAATCCTGCTTTCATTGTGACTGCATCATTTCCCCGCTCCGCATCAGTTACTTAATGACAAGGGGGCGCTCTTTTTGGGACAACAAGGTGCAGGGCTCGATGAACACAGCAGGCCAAGCAGCATCATAGGAGGTTTTGGTTTGCGGGAGATCTCTTCTACAGAAATCCAGCATTCGGGAAGATTACAGAGACTGGGACAGAGACGAGGATACTGTGCAAAACACAAGGGTCCCGATGTCTCTCTTCAACTTCAAAATGTGGCACCTTCAGAGGTTAACAATCTAATTAGATTTAGCACTCTTTCCGTTTCTAACATTTGTGTAAATATACAGACACACACACACAAAACTTGCCTACACTTTAAATAAGAAACAAGACCTGTCATTTTGCAACTTTCAACCACATCCCAGTCACTGCAAACAATGTCATTGACATGAATGATGTGTGTCTTAAAACCTTAAGAATTTGGGATTAGCATTACATCTCGATTTAAACGAGAGATTGTGAGGATGCTGTCTAATCCTTTCAGAAACAGTAGCAATCGGCTTGCCCGTTCCATGTGGTGGGCCTCGTTGAATTACAATTTAAAGCCAAGACTCACTTCTGCATGTGTGACTCATATCTGCAATATGAGTTTGGACGGTGACACCATTGTACAGCAGTGTTGAGAAACGTGCCTGAGTGAAGAACCGTGTTAAGCTTATTAAAGGATTAGTCTCCCACTGCGGTTTGTTTATTTTAGAATGATATTGACACAGCAAGTACCTACATTCCCCTTTATCAGCCTTTGATGCAACCTCCCTTTTTCAATAACTTAACAAGGGAGGCTGTGATTAATAAAAATCTCTCCTCTCTCATTGTAAGAAAAGAAAACAGTTAAAAATTATTTGTCGCCGCGACACGGAGTCGTAGGGACCTCTTCCAGGCCCCCCGTTGGGCTTCAGGAGTTGTTGTGTCAGTCTGCTTTTTAACAGGTCAGGGACAACTGCTTCTTTGTGCTTGGAAAGATTGACAGGAGGTTTTTTTTTCAAACTGAAAGCTAGTAACGGGCAGGTCTGACATCTCGCATTTGGATACAAGAGAAAAGCGAAAAAGCTGCATCACTGATGAGGAAAGGACTCTCCTCTGAAGAGCATTTCACTGGCACCTGTTCCACTAAACAAGGACAACAGAAACTCTCCGCCTTTTTTTCAAAAAAAAACACAACACGCCACAGATTATGGCAAACATAGACGATTCATCCGCTCTCTCATCTAGAATCGCCATGAGTCCTTACACTAGTTCATTTCTAATTTCCCGGAGCTTTAAACTGCAGTATGTATTTGATTGATGTTTAATGATTTGAAACGTGACACTGACGGTCTGTGTAAAACAACAGACACTGTAACAACTCCAGGTTAACTTGCTTTGCACACATCATTGGCTGGGGCCGGGAATATACACATTTTAGAGATCTGCAGCATAGAAGGGGAATATGATTCCGCTTTCAGAACCGTAACAGACAGTGTATTTCAGCTCACTAAACCACTTTCATCTTAATATGATTTTCTGGTGAGTTCCAAAATGCAGCCTGGATCGAACAATTGAAAATAAAACCTGTTAACTTTATCCACTTGAGTTGAACTTTGGTTCCCAGCTAGCGTTGCATTTAAAACAAAAAAAAACAAATCCTAACTTCGAACTTTTAATTACCAATGCTACAAACCAACTGAGGCTCCGCTCTCGATGAACCGCTGGTGGAAG